TGACCCAGGGATTGAACCCAAGTCTCTCTCCTTACAGGCAGATTCTTTACAATCCGAGCCACAGGGAAGCTAGTTGGAAGCACTGTGTAAACAGGCCTGGCTTCTTGACTCACAGTGGGCTTCACTCTATAATAATCAGACATGAGTTCATCTGTGGAAACCCTAAGCTCAACATTTTCTGTTTTTTCTCTTGACTTCGAGTTTCACCAAAGAGAACTCCCTTGGTCTTTGGTATATATGAGGTATAAATCTGGTTTCCAACTTTCTCTAAGAGCTGAGTTGGAGGAAATGGGATCAGCAACCTACTATTCATTATAAACATTTTACATGCATTCTGTTTTCAGAAGGGCACCCATTCCCTAACACAGCCTTCAGCCTTTTCATTTATATTTAGCCTTTCCAAAGAGTAAATCTCCATCTTTCTGCAAGTCTACCAAGCTAGAATCTGAGTGACCATTGCAATGTATATGCTTAATTAATGTAAAAAATCAATCAGTGCAATTTAAAACATAATGGACTAGAGAAGAAGAGTCACCATCACCTCAACAGATTTAATAAAATTTAATACTCTGATTTTAAAACTAACAAAAAGTTCTCTTAGCAAATTAGGATGAGGAAGGAAAGCCTGTAACACCATACAGGTTATCCCTTAAAATTGATCAGGAACAGGACACAGAAGTCTTTGTTACCACTCCTATTCAACACTGCATGGAAAGTATCCTAGCCAGTGCAATAACACAGAAACAAGAAGAAAATGATGCTCTTCATGACAGAAATGAAAACTCTCTGGTACCTAGAGATAAAGCTATTAAAAGATATGCAACATCAATTTCCTGGCTGTGATACTGTACTACAGTTAAGCAAGATGTTACCACTTGGGGACATGATGAAGGGTATATGGACTCTATCTGTATTATTTCTTATGGCTTCATGTGAATCTATCATGTTTCAAAATAAAAAGTAGGAAAAGTTAAGCAAAATCTTTATGAAGAACGTTATCCAACTTTTCTCAGAGACATGAAAGACCTAAATATACAAGTTATACATAAGATATATGGTGATGAGATATTAGCAATATGCCAATTCTCTCCAAATTAATTCACAAATTAAATGCATTACTAGTCAAAAATTCAAATTCATTTTCTGGTCAAATCTGATCAGCTAAACTTAAACTCTTAGTGAAGAGTCAAAAAACAGCCTAGATTATTCTGAAGAATAAGAAGGTTAAGGACCCATGCTAGTCAAGACCTATTATTAACGTAGTGGTATAAATGAAGTTCTGGCGTAAGAAGAACAAATAACACTGTGGACAGAGGTTTGTAACACTGTACAGGAGGCAGTGTCCAAAACTATCACAAAGAAAAAGAAATGCAAGAAGGCAAAGTGGTTGTCTGAGAAGGCTTCACAAATAGGTAATGAAAGATTAGCAAAAGGCAAGGGAGAAAGGAAAAGATATGCCCAACTGAATGCAGAGTTCCAGAAAACAGCATGGAGAGATAAGGCCTTCTTAAATGAAAAACGCAAAGCAACAGAGGAAAACAGTGGGAAAGGCTAGAGATCTCTTCAAGAAAACTGAAGATATCAAGGAAACATTTCATGAAAAGATGGGCAGGATAAAGGACAGAAACGGTTAAGGACCTAACATTAGCAGAAGAGATAGAGGGATCGGGTGGAGAGGGAGGTGGGAGGGGGGACCGGGATGGGGAATACATGTAAATCCATGGCTAATTCATTTCAATGTATGACAAAAACCACTGCAATGCTGTAAAGTAATTAGCCTCCAACTAATAAAAATAAATGGAAAAAAAAATGAAAAAAAAAAAAAAAAGAAGAGGTAGCAAGAATATACAGAAGAACTACACAAAAAGGTCTTGACCCAGATAACCATGATGGTGTGGGTGTGGTCACTCACCTAGAACTAGACATCCTGGAGTGTAAAGTCAAGAGGGCCTTAGGAAGCATTACTACAAACAAAGTTAGTGGAAATGATAGAATTCCAGCTGAACTATTTCAAATCCTAAAAGATTATGCTGTTAAAGTGTTGCACTCATATGTCAGCAAATCTGGAAAACTCAGCAGTGGCCACAAGATGGGGAAAGGTCTGTTTTCATTCCAATCCCAAAAAAGGGCAATACCAAAGAATGTTCAAACTACCCTACCACTGAGCTCATTTCACATGCTAGCATGGTTATGCTCAAAATCCTTCAAGCTAGGCTTCAGCAGTACATGAACCTAGATACATACATAAGCTGGATTTAGAAAAGGCAAAGGAACCAGATTACCTTTGGTAATGGAATCACATTACCAATATCTGCTGGATCACAGAGAAAGCAAGAGAGTTCTAGGAAAAAAACATCTGCTTGAATATGCTAAAGCCTTTGACTGTGTAGATCACAAAAAACTGTGGCAAATTCTTAAACAGATGACAGTACCAGACCACCACACCTGTCTCCTGAGAAACCTGTATGCAGGTCAAGAAGCAACAATTAGAACCAGACATGGAACAATGGATTGGTTCAAAACTGGGAGAGGAATACAACAAGGCTGTATATTGTCACCCTGCCTATTTAACTTATATGTGGAATACATCATGCAAAATGCCAGGCTGGTTGAATCACAAGCAGAAATCAAGATTGCTGGGAGAAATACCAACACCTTCAAATATGCAGATGATACCACTCTAATGACAGAAAGCAAAGAGGAACTAAAGAGCCTCTTGATGAGGGTGAAAGAGGAGAATCAAAAAGCCGGCTTGAAACTCAACATTCAAAAACTAAGATCATGGAATCTGGTCCCATCACTTCATGGCAAACAGAAGGGTAAGAAGTGGAAGCACTGACAAATTTTGTTTTTCTGGGCTGCAAAATCACCGCGGACAGTGTCTGCAGCTATGAAGTTAAAAAACGCTTGCTCCTTGAAGGAAAAGCTATGAGAAACCTAGAGAGTGTATAAAAAGCAGAGACATAACTTTGCCAACAAAGGTCTGCACAGTCAAAGCTATGGTTTTTCCAGTAGTTGTGTATGGATCTGGAGTTGGACCATAAAGAAAGTTGAGCTCCCCAGAATTGATGCTTTTGAATTGTGGTGCTGGTTAAGACTCTTGAGAGTCTCTTGAACTGCAAGGAGACCAAACCAGTCAATCCTAAAGGAAATCAACCCTGAATATTCATTGGAAGGACTTATGCTGAAGCTGAAGCTCCAATACTTTGCCACCTGATTCGAAAAGCCAGCTCACTGGAAAAGACCCTGATGCTGGGAGAGACTGAAGGCAAAAGGAGAAGGGGGGCGGCAGAGGAGGAGGTGGTTAGACAGCATCACTGACTCAGCAGACATGAATTTAAGCAAACTCAGGGAGACAGTGAAGTACAGGGAAACCTGGCGTTCTGCAGTCCACGGGGGAGGGGGGGGCAAAGAGCTGGATATGACTTAGCAACTGAACAACAAAAACGAAGTCCTAGAACAGGGAGAATAAATACACCAAAAGAACAGAAATAAAGCCAGAAATAGATCCTATATAAGAGAACTTAACATATGAAGGCTTCCCTGGTAGCTCAGATGGTAACAAATCTACTTGCAATGCAGGAGACCCAGGTTCAATCCCTGGGTCAGAAAGATCCCCTGGAGAAGGATATGACAAAGGAGTTGGACACGACTGAGTGATGAACATGACATATGAAAGTAGGGAAATTTCCAATCAGTAGGTTAAAAAAATGGATTATTCAACCAATTATGTTGGGACAAGTGACTGTCATACAGAAAACAGGTAAATTAGACATTTGTGATAGGAAGGATTTTATGATCATAACATTAATGATTGGTAAGCTTGATTTAAGAAAAAGTAAAACTTTCACAAGACCAAAGAAATTCACCAAAGTGAAGAATACAAGCCTCTCTCCTATCAGACCAGAAGTAAAAGGAAAGCCTCAGGAGGATGTGCTCCTGACTGAGGATGTGCTCGGTGGTGTCTGACTCTTTGTAACCTAACGGACTGTAGCCTTCCATGCTCCTCTGTCCATGGGATTTCCCCAGCAAGAACACTGGAGTAGACTGCCATTTCCTTCTCCAGGGGATCTTCCGGACCCAGAGATTGAACCCACATGTCCTCCATCAGCTGCATTGGCAGGCAGATTCTTTACCACTAAGCCACCTGGGAAGCTCTCTCAAGAGAATATGCTGCATCATATTTCTAAAACGAACACTGAAAACTTTCACGGCAACAGGCAAACTGTTGTAAAAGTATAAATATGAGCAAAGGAACATCCACCAACTTCAAGACAGTAAATAGTAGTAAAACCACGTATCTGGAGGGATGTATTAAAACCATGTATCTGGAGGGCTGACTATAATTTAGATGTAGGTTTCTGACTGCATGGAGGGTCAGCACCCCTAACTCCCATACTTTTCAAGGATCAACTATTTCTAATGCTCTATTTCTTTTAAAAAACAGATTTGAAGTAAACACAGCAAAATGCTAATACCTATTACTTCTTGCTGGTGGATACTATGTGTCTAATATTTTCTCTATACTGAAACAGAAGAACTAAAAATAAAGACGGATAAAACACTGGAAGCCAGAAGGGACCAGAGTGAGTTGAAGTTTCGTAATTCATACTGGAAGAGTCAAAAGGGACTGTCCACATTAATCAACCAAGCAACAGTGGTGCAAGCATACCATTACTATCTAGTTATGAAGATCTGCAACAAATCTAAAATCAGAAACAAACCAGGTGGGGAAAAAGGAGGAATGTTGTTTTTCATTTCACCGTCTCACCATCTGAAATATCATATGTCTGTATTACTTTGAAAAACAGATATTTTGTTTGAAAGAGACAAACTCTGAAACCCAAACTGGAGACTGTTAAAGAGCATTTCCAATCTCCAGAAATTTCTGAAAGTCTTATTTCAGTTAAAAAGGGAATACTATATAAACCAATGTATACTTTGCTGAATTTACTTTCAGGAAACCAAACACCAGCCCTCGACTAGCAAAACCAATTTACCCTGAAACAATGTTGTAGTTGAGAGCAGGATGGTCCTTTGAGACAGGAGGAACAAGAGGCTCTGGTTGCCACTCTTCAATCAATTCTTCTTTTTCCTACAAGAGAAAAGCTGTTAAAAGTACAGCGCAGTGCTACTTACTGGACAGCTTAACTCTAGCAGTATCTAAACTGTTTGTTGTAATGATGCCATCGTAATGAACATGCTGCTAGAAAGAGGTCCAGACGCTGTGGCTGGAAGTGACACTAAATCACTACTGAGTTTTGGACACTTAACCCCTCACCTTTTTCCTCAACTCAGGCTAAAGGCTCTTTTCCCATGAAACTTCCCGGGTGATGGAAAATTTTTTTAAATTTTATTTTTGTTCAGAATTTTTCACTGTAGGAAGTATAACTGCTACTGATGATAAAACAAAAAGTCTACAACACAAAGAGAAGCAGCACGACTGCAGGTTAAGTGAGCTCAGCCTCTTGCAAAATATTATAGACAGCCACACCTTAGGTTCTTATAGGCATGATAGTCATAGGAAGGGATCAACTAGACCACAAAGCACTGTTTCTACAAGCCACTGGCAAGGATTCAGAAGAAACTGAAATATACCAAAAGACTCTCTTAATAATAATTATTATAAAATAGTTGTTTAGAAATTTCTCACAGAAAGCCACTTTATTTCTTTTACCTGTTATTTCTTGCATTACAGGTATTTTGATTATTTTTAGTTTCTTATCCTTTCTTGAACTAGAAAAGGAAGTGTAATTTTGAAAATGTACTCTGGACGTACTCAATGAGATGAGGCACACCTGATGAACATGATAGACACAGCAATTCTAGCCTTAGATAAGCCCACTCTTAATATTTCTATTTCCACACTCCTGTTAAATGCTTCCGTGTATGTTTCTCCTAATAGGCAACTCTAGGGCATGGCCAGGAGCATATTCTCTTAAGGCTCAGGGACTCAAAAATGCTAGCTGAACAAATCAACTGCATGGGAGAACAGTAGCCTGAACAAGCCTGGAGCACGTGTGATACACACAGTCCACTCGCTACCATGGAGACAGATTTCAGAATCAATTCAAGATTGCCTGGTATTCAAGAGACTCTGCACATCTGTAAAACTGAGAAGGGCATTTCTTCTTTGCTGCCATTAAGTTAAGCTTTAGAAACGCTCACACAGTTGTTTTTTTTCCTTCCACAGCTTTTAGGGTAAGATGTCAGTGATTACTGAATCTTGCTCTAGGTAAGTTTCGCTTTTAGAGGGTTATCCTAAAATTATGTTTAGGCAATATTCTTTCAAAATGCACATCTGTGTGGACTGATATGCTTAAACTTAAATTAAGACTATTAGGAATGATCAACCCCTTAAACAGCTGGGCTAGAAATCTGTTCCATGGCCACATAATTATTCACATGGAGTTCCTAAATACCAAGGGAAAAAAAGTAGACAGGATTTCTGGACTGGATAACTCAAGGAAACACTTGCCACACTGCTGTAATTCCATCCCACTTGCACCTTCTCCTGTGAATGCTCCAGCCAGCAAAGAAAAGAGCAGTGCCCATCTTTGTGCTACACTTAATGCTGCCTTGTGAACTTCTGAACTGAAGTTTTAGGCACTTCTGTGGGAAAACATCTCTAACTGTAAGTGTCTCTAAGTATTCTGGCGTACTGCTATAGAGGCTGGACAGGGAAACAATAAAAGTCACAGAAACCATGCTGTAGTCAAAACTGCTCTTCCTTTTTCATACCTGGGGCACAGTTACTCAGTGTTCCTATCTGCAGGAGAAGGCAGGGGATTCCACAAACCCTTGGTCCTCCATATTAACAGTCCCCAGGGGGCATCACTGAAAGTCTTTTTGACACTTCTTCCCAAGGTCTGCCCAACTTGGGCTTGAGCTGGGTCCTTTACCATACAGAACACATCAAAATTCGATTTGGGGTGGGAAGGTGGAGAGTGGTGGAATGGAGAGGATTCTCTCCGATTCTGAATCTCCTTTATGAAGACCACAGGGAAAACTTTCATTCAGGCTTCAGAAACAGTGCTGCTTTTCCCAAGCAACTCACGTAACCTTATAGGTGGACACTGGCAATTCAGCAGTAGCCCATGTTTCCCTTCCAGCATCTAGTACGTTTCCAGACTGCTGTTTATTCCTAGCAAACTATAAAGGCCTGTAACATGGTATACTTCTTTGTGTACTTACTTTATCCCTGGATTCCCTGTAATTCGTTTACCCTGACAGTTCATTCTCGTTTTCCTTACATTCCAGAAAACATTTTAACATATATAGTTGAGCCACCACGAGTAATTTTTGAAAGATGTAGCAACTATAATCATACACCAAATAATAAAAATAGGAATTTAACTTCTCACCTTGAGTGTAAGATCAGATCGTTCTTGTAATTTGTAAGTTTTAGAGAAAAGAAGTCTGATTATCCAGAGTATTAAAATTCCTTCTAAAATAAGATGATAAGCAGGAGCCTAGGAGTGAGTCAAAAACAAAAGTAAAACAAAAACAAGAAATAAACAAATATTTCCAAACCTGCATATATAATTTAATGCGCCTGCATATACTACTACCCATGACCCTTACAAAACCTATTTACTACTTCTGAAGATTTACTTCCAAAGCTCACTTTATTTCTGCTCATTCCATTTCCCATTTCTAACAGAAGGCAATGTCTCCTAACATGAAAAATCTCTAAAACTGCAGCTTTAAACCATCTTCAGGAATAAAAATTAGTTTTTAAAATAAAATCTGACACAGAATTTCAATAATTAAACAATATTAACTATCAGATCCTTCAGGTAATTTGCATTTTTACTGGTATGAAATGACTGTAGCAAACATTTTGCAGCATCACAAGCCTTCTATCACCTTCGCATACCACGGATGAACTGAGAATTATTTGGAAACCAGTTTCCACAATTTTCAAAGAATTTTGCACATCTTATGATATTTTCTGTATCCCTGATAAGCCTCTTTAAATTCTCCTTGGAACATGGCAGAAAGACTTTACTAATGCTTAAAGAAATAGCATGTCTCTTTTCTACCATAGCTCCCCAAAAGTATGTAGTGTTTTCCGTGTCAACAGGCAAAAATTTACCTTAATGAAATTATCCATGTCAGGTCTTTTCAACTGTACATTTCCAGGATAAAGGCCAAGCTAGCTGACTTTTAGGTTTTATACAACTAAACACACCAAGTGCATGTAGAAGATTCCAGATATCAACTGAACCCCCATCAGTCAGTTATGGAGTGCTGTATTCCAATAGGTTGTCATTGGAAAGCCATTTAAAAGAGGTGTTTAGAAATGTAAATACAAACTACTATAAAGCATTAGACAGAAAGTGATGAGTCACAGTAGTTCAAAAAATTCTGAGGTGGTGACAGGGAACCTGCTGACAAATGTGTATAAATTTGTCATAAACTTTCAGATCACTGCACAGGTACCTTTAAAACTGCATACATGTTATCTATGCATTGGTACACAACAAGACTCCTTAAATTCTACATCCAAGGTACACAGAAATTATAAGCAAAACCAGAAATCTCTCTAAGATTATTTTTAAAATTTGCTGATCCCTCCTGAATATAATTCATTTAAGAATAAGGGCTCTACTAAAAAAAAAAAAAAAAAAAACCCTTTTGGTTTTATCAAATATTGGATCATAGCTGACAAACAAATATCCAAGTCACCAGTTAAACATTCTACTCCGCAAAGACATCATCCTAAGAAAAGCTGAAATGTCTAGTAAATTAATAAAAATTATAAATGCAGGTTCTTTTCTTCCCTAGGAAAAACATCCAGGAGGACTTCTCTCAAGTCTCACTCATGGTCAGTACTAAGGCATGAGAAGTTACATAATCAAAGGGCAGTCTTCAGAAAGGCAGCAACAACATACAGTAGAAGTTATTCATTTCTGAAACACAAATCTTAAATTTTAGTGGTTCTTCTTAGTCACTGACAGCTCAGTTGGTAAAGAATCCGCCTGCAATGCAGGAGACCCAGTTGGATTCCTGGGTTGGGAAGATCCGCTGGAGAAGGGATAGGCTACCCACTCCGGTATTCTTGGGCTTCCCTTGTGGCTCAGCAGGTAAAGAATCCACCTACAATGCAGGAGACCTCGGTTTGATCCCTGGGTTGGGAAGATTCCCTGGAGAAGGGAAAGGCTACCCACTCCAACATTCTGGCCTGGAGAAGTCCAGGGAGTCTAGAAGAGTGGGACAAGACTGAGTGAATCACAGTCACTATGATTAACCTATGGTTGGACATCTCCTAAGCCATACTGTCTCTCTTAACTGTTTTTTGTTTTCATGTCCAAAAAGTCCTGATGGGTCCTGACGCATCTTTCATCATCACCGCTGCCAGTACGTGCAATATTAAGTTTTAAGAAAATTATCGAAAGAAAACTGAGATTCACTTTACATGAATGTGAGTACTATAAGCACAGCGAGTTTTACCGGTTCGCTCACTGCACTACTTCTAGTATTTACATCTCTGCTGTCCAACACTGTAGTCGCTAGCACCATTCAACTATTTAAATACATATCTAAATTAAATGAAATATTCAGTCCTTCAGCTGTACTAGCCACTTTTCAAGTGCTTAATAGCCACATGTGTTTAGTGGCTACTGAACAGCTCAGAGAACAAGCAGAAAGTTCTACTGTACAGTGCTGGGAAACTCACTAAATGTCGAATGAACATTTTACAAGAACGACATTTAAACTTTATATTATCTTACTACCTGAAATGGCTGGCCTTTCAAAAAACATCCCTTAACTAGTCTTTCTTCAGAGATTTACTAAAGTAGTTGTATCTCTGCAAGACAGAAAATGGGACGTATGCGGAAGAACGACTATTTCATATTCCTAAATCATTCGGCTTCCCTTACAACACATCATTCGGCTATCTCCCAACAGAAACAAAATCCTACTTATTATTTTTTCCCCTATTACCTGCTCCACAGTTCCAAGGACCTGTCTTCCCTAGGACCCCTCCAGACTAAGATTTTCCATTTTACTTTCATCTCTCTCGTTTTAGCAGCTCTGGCTTTTGACTAGCCTCTCTCCTGTATCCGGACAGGACCTGGAGAGGGCTCTCCGCTCGCTGGAGAGCAAATCGAGACCGCCAGTTCGGCTCCCACCCGCGCCTCGCAACATTCCGCCGCCCGGAAATGTGTGCCTGTGAGCCCTTCCAGGGAGCGACGCCGAGGGTCCGGGCGTGACTGGGCCAGGCCCGCCTAGGCCTCAGAACAAAAATCCACACAAAAGGTCCCACTTCGCCAGGGCTGGGTGTGGTCGTGAGCCCCTGAAGTCGCCAAGCTTACCTCGTAGAGCGCCTGTACCATCTCCACCAGTACCCACTGCTCCGCGGCCGTCGCCATAGTTAGCGGCCGGGACTCCCTTCCGGAAGGCTCTTCAGAAACTGCGCGGCGCGGCCCAGTGACGTCTAGGTGCCCGGTAGGCGGGGCTGCCGGGAGTTGGCACCGCCTTCTCGCGCCTGCGTTTTGGGTGGCTGGCAGCTGCGTTGTCTGAGGGAGGATTAGCCTGGTGTGGTGAATGTTGACCTTAGGATCTCTCAAGGGTGTGGGGAGTGGTGAGAATCGGCAGGCTGGTCCCCGCATCATGTGTTCACAGCCAGGCCATTAACTGCTGGACCCTGTGCTGGGCTCTTGGGATAGAGGGGTTGTAATAGATGACCCTCACGCTTGGCAGGCAGTTGGGTTCAGGGAGTTATTATGCAATCGCAAACATATTCTTTACTTTTAAATTATGTAAGTAATGCAAGAATGCATTATAATTAAAAAAAAAAAGACAAGACAACTAACTATACCACTTACCATGTAAGGATTTGTACGTATTAAGCCGTATAGCAGTTAGCTGTGGAAACTTCAAGAGCGTAGGTATCCAAACGTGATGTGCGCATACTTCGGTTGGATTTCTTAAATATAACTGGGAGCATAGGGATAATACTGTTGCACAATTGTCTTCTCTTCTTTTTTCTTTCTGGGGCTGTAAATGTTGTATTTATAACCAATGAAGAAGCCTATTTATTGTAACTTGTTCTGTGTATTTCTCATCACATTTTATTTAAGACTTTCTATTTTGGGGGGCTTCCCTGGTGGCTCACTCCCCCCCCCCGCCCCACTTTTTCACCTGTTACAAACAATGCTCAGTAACCATGGATGTGTGTATGTCTTTCTGTGCATGTTGGGGTATTTCCAACAGGTTTCCCCAAAGTCAGATTTTACTCAGTGTGCATGTTAATGTCAGTAAACACTGCCATACTGCTCTCCAGAAGGGCTCGATCAATTTCAAATATTTGAAAGTGTTGTTGTTCTGTTGTTAGTCGCCAAGTCCTGTCTTTTGAGACTCCATGGTCTGTAGCCTGCCAGGCTCCTCTGTCCATGAGATTTCCCAGTCAAGAATAGTGAAGTGGGTTGCCATTTCCTTCTGCAGAGGATCTTCCTGACCACAGGGATTGGATGTCACCTGAAGTTTTCAAAGGTGATCTAAATATAATCTGGGGGGACAAATGATTTAGATGAAAGTGAGATAAAAGTATCTTCCAAAATCATTTGGTAACTTAAAACTGTATAGCTTTTCTGTAAATAAAATTAAATGATGAAAATTCATCAAAAGTCTTAGTCATTTCCAAATATGATAAAATACTGAAATATTAATTGCCTAAGTCTCTTACTTATTTTTGTCTTTTTATTATAGCAAAACTAAATATGTTTAGATTTATTAGAAACATGTCATGTACCAGATTAAGAAAATCATTATGTTATGAGGAAATGTATGTTTCTGGAAATTATGAAGTATAGTCACAAGGTTGCCAACCAAAAAATATTGGTATAACAAGCAGTTCACAATCACTTACTGCTGTTTTCTTAGAAATTAAAGTTTCTAAGGGTTAAGAATTGTAATTAATATGCAATTAAAATTAGTAAGGAAAACATCTTCCTATGTATGGAAAAAATGTACAAGGAGTAGAAATGCATTTTGCTAAGGGGAACACAAGTAATTTTGTCCTAAAAAGAAGTTTTAAAAAAAAAGAGGAAGGGAAAGCATAGGACAAAATTTGAATATATAAAAGAAAGAAGTTATATAGAGGCTTATGGAAAAGAAACCCTGAGAAAGGTTTTGTGTGTGCTTAGGACTGGCTAAGGTTAAAATAAATTTAATTAAATGAATGAATTTTAATATTAAAACTAATTTGTTGCTGGGAATTCCCTGGTAGTTCAGGGGTTAAGGCTCTGTTTCCACTGCAGAATGCATGGGTTTGATCCTTGGTCAGGAACTAAGATCCCACAGGCCACTCAGTGTGGCAAAAACCACAAAGCTGCTGCAAAACTAGAATTTTATTTTCTCTGTCTGTTAAGAGGACAAAGTTTTCTTGCAATATCAATCTGTTTGATAGTAGACTGTTGAATTTATTTACCTCTTAAGTAGTTTGTTGTAATTTTCTGTATTTGCCTTTGAAATATTTTATTGTCACTTTGGTTAAGTGAATAAATATTCATTTATAGTGACGTATGATCCTATTTGAATGAGTGTTTTAAAACCTTTTGATATATTTGACAAATTTCCCCAAATCAAATTCTGGATAAAGCCTTTTTGACCTCAAGCTAACTTTGAGATTTTTCAGAAGGCCCCTGAAAAAAATCTCAAAAGAGTAATATTAAACTTATTAGGTTGCAGAGTTCCAAAGAACAGCAATGAGAGATAAAAAGGCTTCCTATGTGATCAATGCAAAGAAATAGAGAAAAACAATAGAATGGGAAAGACTGGAGATCTCTTCAAGAAAATTAGAGATACCAAGGGAACATCTCATGCAAAGATGGGCTCAATAAAGGACAGAAACGGTATGGACCTAACAGATGGAGAAGAGATTAAGAAGAGATGACAAGAATACAGAGAAGAATTCACCCAAATATATAAGTATTACAGGCAAATCTGATGGCAAGTCCTTGGTGTGGCTTCATGACTTTGTGGCCTCCATAGGCAAATAAAAATTTAACTTAGAATTCCTTGTGAAAAGTTCCAGCAAAGCAAATTTTAAAAAGCTTTTATGGTCAATCATCATTTTTTCTGGACGTATTTAAGTAATCAGGCCAGGTTTAATGAAACTAAGCTTGTTTTACAATCTAGTCTTTTATTCAGCTATCTGTTAGAAATAAAGGTGATATTAGAGAAAAATGTTTTTCAGTAGAAATTTAATACACAGTTATAGATACTAGATTCTAGTTCTGTTAGTTATATTCAAGGTTTTGCTTTTCCACTAGTTAGCGGAACTGGATCCTGAATTCTCCTAGTTCCCTCAAAAGTTTTACTATAAAGTTCAAACTAATGTTTTCAATGTTTCTCCCACTTTTGACTTGGAATCATTGAGAACTAAAACTTCTCTTTTCCTGAATCTCTGCAGACTGAAAATGAGTAACTCGATAGAAATTTAAGAGAGATGACCACAATAGCCCATGGTTAGACAATCTTTGTGCTTATTGCTATGTATGCCAACAGAAAATTTACCTAAACACCCAAAGACATCCTCAGAGACATTCCAAACTGCAAAAGATGCTTCAGATCTGACCGAGAAATCTGGGCTGGCAGCTCTTGGGACTCAAGACAGTGGGTTTACAATGTGCTCTAATCATTAAGCATTGTTTTTCTTTCATCTCCATAGAAACGCCTCTTATTAAATACCTGACTGCCCATACCCTTAGACCTAACTTTGAGAGCCCACCTGCATCTCCACTTCCTGAAGTAAGTAACTAAACTGATCTGTTATCAGGACTAAGAGACTGGTTCAAAGAGATATACAACAATCTATCAATTTAACTTCTGGACCATGAAACTTAAGAGAAGTTTCAAAAGTGGGACTGCAAAGGAGCAAAATTTGCCCCCTCCAAAATGTTTCTTTGGCATGCAAATTATTTTGAGCTGAAAAAAGTCAAAGCCCAAAAGACTCAGAAAGAACCTTTGACCTTCCTCCTAACTGCTCAAAGAATGTAGATAGAAAAGCTGTTTCTGGTAGGGGGCTATCACCACAGATAACTATGGTATGAACTGGGCATGTAGACAGGAACCTAGCAAAGTGCTTGTTAGAATTCCTCTCTGTTCCCCTATGCATAACCCAACAGACATTTGTTTATCAAACATTTGCTTTTCCATATCCATGTAAATTGCTTTCCTCCTCTTTGAAGTCCCAAACCACTACCCACAACATCCTATTTTATCTCTAGCCAAAGATGATATGTAAAGTGAGAATTTCTGCCATTTTGCTGAGTTACCCAGTTTTCCTGGGTCTCTACAATGTACACATTGTTATTAAATTTTTGTGTGATTTTCTCCTGTTAATCTGTTTCATGTCAATTTGATTCTGAGACTACCCAGACGAATCTACAAGGTTGGAGGAAAAATGTCTTCCTCGACAGAGTGAACCTGCAAAACCCTAAGCTCCCCAACCTTGGACCCTAACAAAGGCAGAGCTCCAGATTCTCTCCAAGTTCTCTCTCCCTTTCCACCTCTCCCACCCCATGACTTCACAGTGTGGCCCTGAAGCATGCTGTGGACTCTCCAAAACCTGTGAGTAATAAATCTTGTTTTTTAAAGTTCTCTTATGGTTTCTGCTGAAGTGCATACTGCAGTGATAATAAGATTCACAAGGCCCAGACCAGGTCAGGGAAATGCCTGTGGAGGCTGCCACAGTAATACAGGCCCTGGGCAAATGTCTCAGGCATTGCTAACCAACAGTATCACTTATCAGTAGGCTGAAACTAACACAACATACACATACAAGTATTATTTTTAGTAATGTTAAACATTCTTTGTTTATTTTGGGTACCAGGTGGTTTATTTCAGGCTGAAGCATCATGTCTTTTTTCAGTTCTAGAACAATTTTTTTGACTATTTCTATTTCACTTATGTGATTTTTTTTTAATTTATTTATGGGAGAAATTATTTGAAAACTACATAACTGGTAAGAAATTAACATTCAGAATAAAGAACCTCTACAACTGAACAACAACAAAAAACAAGCTACCAAGTCAAAAAATGGACAAGAGATTTGAGCTGACATTTCACCAAAGAAGATATACAATTAGTCACTTAGCACATAAAAGAATTCTTAATGGCGTTGAATTACACACTTAAAAGTGGTTAAAGTTGTAAAATTTGTTACGTGTGCATGTTGTACCACAATGAAGAACTGCTTTTTCTTTATATGTATATATTTATATTTTATATACATTAACTTTTTCTTCAAATTTCCAATGTTTGTCCTTTTAAGTTTCATTTTGGTAGACTTCCTGGTGTCAGCTTTCTAATCCTCTTTATTTTTAGTTGTTCTTATTCAGCCCATCTGATCATTGATTTAAAATCT